CCTTTTTTTTTTCAACCCAAAGCTTTATGTCGCTTTCTGACCCATGTACTAGCAAGATTTGTACACCACGTGCATAATAATCGCTACTTTACTTTTATGATAGGTGCCTTATTTTTTTGACTTAATTGTACTAATTTGTTTGGACCCGAGCATTTTAAGTGCCCACTGGCTTTTCAGGATTGGCTTATGATACATCTATGCAAATATTTGGCCTTTGGCCATGTATTCTTTTGTTATTTTGTCCTCTGCCACATTATATTGTATGGGTCTTGCAACTGTGATTTTCATCACCTGTATTGTGAAAAAACAAAAAACTGGGCTCCATAGATAAGGGGCATCCTGTCCGTTGACATCCTCGCTGGAGCCTTTTTCCCCCCTACATGAATCCTACATAGTTGCATAGTATTTGAGGTTGAATAAAGACATAAGTCCATCAAGTCCAACCTATGGCGTGTATCTGATTGACTTTCTCCAGCTATGATCTACTGAGAAGTGGAATCCAGCGCTCCGGTGATACCTGTTCTTGCATGGGCAAGGCGACAGTAAAGAACTGGCCATTGTACGTCTCTATGACATATCTTATCCTCAGGGATTTCATACGTTTCTTTTCCATGAATGCCAGTTCAGTCATTGTCTGCTCTGTTGATGGCTCCTACTCTTAGCAGGAACACTCTGCCGCCCCGGGGTAAACTAATTAAACACAGAATGCAGTGCAATCTCTCTAGAACTTTTATGCAAAGCCCATGCATATTTAAAAAAAAAAAACCAAGCATAAGCTAAAACACTGATTTACGGGCCGGAATATGAATGTTCGCATAAAAAAAATATTCTTAATCCTCTAATTACTTAACCTTGGTCACAGTAAGAGAAGGATAATTCAAAGTTACCCTGACAAATAGGATCAGAGTGATTTTAAACAAATGGTAATGATATTTGACCGCAAAGGGTCAACTAACACGTAGAATAAGCATCTGATTAAAAAGTAATGCGTGGCTATGGGTTGCAGGTCGGGTCCTGACTGGACCTTTCTTACGGGAACTCGCAAGATGTTCTCAGCATTGTCTTCCGTCCGCGGTGACACATGGACTGGGCTGCTTGATCATCCGGTCACACGGTGTTAAGAGTCTCAGGAGATTAATGAGTGAAAGCAGCGGTCCCCGTCACCTCGCACGATAAGTCATGGAGTAATGGAGTATCCATAGTCAGACTTCTTACATTCTTCTGTCTTGGAAAGAAGAACTCCAGAGCAAGCCGAATACAGAGCTGAAATACACTTATTAGAAACACTAATGGATACATATACACTGAGTGGCCAGATTATTATATACACCGAGTGGCCAGATTATTATATACACCGAGTGGCCAGATTATTATATACACTGAGTGGCCAGATTATTATATACACCGAGTGGCCGGATTATTATATACACCGAGTGGCCAGTATATAATAATCCGGCCACTCGGTGTATATAATAATCCGGCCACTCGGTGTATATAATAATCCGGCCACTCGGTGTATATAATAATCCGGCCACTCGGTGTATATAATAATCCGGCCACTCGGTGTATATAATAATCCGGCCACTCGGTGTATATAATAATCCGGCCACTCGGTGTATAGAGTATGGTGAGAAGGGACCAAAGGAAACAAAAAGCGCTCCAACTGAATGAGAGCATAGCACAGTAAAGCCCTCATAGAACAGAAGGTAATTACGCGTCTCATTCCATCACATAACATATACACCGGCACTCCAAGTAATGAATCAATGGCGTCTGTTTATTGACGCATGAAACATAGCACAATGCATCAAAAAGCAAAGTTTTGGGGTCTCACAGGATCCCCTTCATCAGGCAAAATGAGTGACTCACTCATGTTAAGATTATAGACGGTTGCCATCCGTCGACTGCCGCAACACCCGTCTTTTATAAGGAACAGCGGTTTTGAGTGCGATGGGTTCATGGACTGTATCATCCCATCACATATCCCAAAGATAAGAGGATTGTTCCTCATGTCAGGACGGTGCTCTATACCAATACTGGGCAGGGCCTCTCTGTGCTCTCAGTTGTCAAATTCCATGAACGAATTCCATTGAGATTCTTCTCCCCGTTGGCGTGATGGCATCACACAGTTTCTGCAGATTTGTCAACCGTGCATCCATGCTGCAGATCACATGTTCTACCATATCCCAACGGTGTTTTATTGGGCTGAAACCTGGGGACTGGCCTGCCATCTGAGTGCCAATGCAGAAATCAAGATTCATTAGACCGGGATACATTTTTCCAGTCTTCTTCTGTTCAGTTTTGGTGATCCTGTGCCCACCGCAGCTTCAGCTTTCGTGGTCTCCTGCAGCGCATCATCATCAAGGTACTCCATGTTGTGCATTCCAAGACGATCTTCTGCTATTGTAGTCCACTCGCCTCAATGTCCTATGTGTTGGATATTCAGAGATGGTCTTCTGCTGTCGTAGCTCATCATCCTCAAGGTTCCACGTCTTGTACATTCTGAGATGATCTTCTACTGTTGCAGCCCATCATCCTCAAGGTTCCATGTGTTGCACATTCTGAGATGGTCTTCTGCTGTCGTAGTCCACCCTCCTCAATGTTCCAAGTGTTGTATATTCAGAGATGGTCTTCTGCTGTTGTAGTCCACCCGCCTCAATGTCCTATGTGTTGGATATTCTGAGATGAACTTATGCTGTTGTAGTCCATCCACCTCAAGGTTCCACATCTTGTACATTTTGAAATGGTCTTCTGCTGTTGTAGTCAATCATCCTCAAGGTTCCAAGTGTTGCACATTCTGAGATGGTCTTTTGCTGTAGTAGTCCATACACCTCATTGTTCCATGTGTTGTATATTCTGAGATGGTCTTCTGCTGTTGTAGCCCATCATCATCAAGGTTCCATGAGTTGCATATTCTCAAAGGATCTTCTGCTGTCGTAGTCCTCCCACCTCAAGGTTCCACGTCTAGTACATTCTGAGATGGTCTGCTCACCACAATTGAAAAGACCGTTATGCGAATTACCGGAGCCTTTCCATAAGTTCCAACAAGCCTGGCCATTCTCCTCTGCCCTCTCTCACCAACAAGGCATTCCTGTCCACAGAACTGCCGCTCACCTGATGTTTTATGGTTTTTGAACCATTCTAAGTAAACTCTAGAGCTCAGGTGGCCAATCTGCACGCTGCCCTACTGGCCCTTACTGTGCGGCCCTCAGACCTCTGCAGTGTTTTCCATACCTAGGTGTTTAACTCAAGCCAGTGACAGAAAATTATTCTTTAGACTGGCTGGTTTGGTTTATTTCTTTCATACTTTTTAAATACTTATGTCTTATGCTTCTGTAATGCCATCTAGTGGCCATAATGCAATATTAAAGAACAGTCTAAATGAATTCCATTTGTAAAGAAAAAACAAATTTAGTTTCGCTGTGCATATATTTTCACACAATGAACGTTCACAGATATTGGCAGGACTTTTATAAATCAACCCCTTATAGTCCATTTACAACTACATGTCCGTGTCTAAGACTCCCCTGTAGTATTAAAGGAGAACTATGGGGTCAGTGCTTTTCCCCATAGTTCTCCTAAGGGTAACGGGAGGATCCTCCCGTCACCCAAAGCTCAGTATACCGCGGGCTACAGCTCTCTATATACTGAGACGCTGCAGCCGGGACGGATCCTGACTGTCGAGATTCACCCAGCTGTGTGATTGACAGCTGGCTCTGCCTATCTAGAGGTAGAGCCAGCTGTGTACCCCCCCCCCCCCCACCTCATAGTTCTCCTTTAAGTACTTCTGTTTTTTTTGTTTTTGTTTGTTTCAAATAATTTATATTGAGATTTTATAAAAAAAAACAAAGTGATACAATTAACCCGTTCTCAGGGTCAGATCAACACAGTAGAGATCAAACATTGGAACGGTTAAAGGAGAACTATTGGGTTTAGGCTTTTCCCCCATAGTTCTCCTTAGGGTAACGGGAGGACACAAACTAGCGTCCTCCCGTCACCCTAAGCTCAGTATATAGGGAGCTACAGCTCGCGGTATACTGAGACGCCGCAGCCGGAGCGGATCCCAACAATTATGACTGACGGGCAGAGCCAGCTGTACCCGCCCCCTCCCCCGTCCGTCCTGCCAGTCAGCGCTGGAGGATCGGAGCGGGGAGGGGGGAATCCAGCCCCTCCCCTGTCACGGCAGAGAGCTGTGACAGGATGGAGAGGTGAGCGAACGCCGGTATATGTTCGCTCACCTCCCGATCTACTGAGCCGACCTGTGACAGTCTCATTGTCACAGGTCGGCTAGTTCATAGTTCTCCTTTAACCTTACCAGTTAGGGACTGAGAATGGGATAAGGAAAAAGGAGTACATTTGTCGACATGTAGTAACCATAATCTCATGGTATTAACATCGAAGTCTTGGTCGGGTAGCGGGAGGACGCTAGTTTGTGACCTCCCGTTACCCTAAGGAGAACTATGGGGAAAAGCCCTGACCTCATAGTTCCTCCTTGAGTCATAGAGGAGAGTAAATGTGGCAGTTTTCGCTCAGGGATAAAGCTATGTCGATCCTATAACCTGGACCATCTGACCTATTTGGGGTGACGATGGGCGCAGCCATGGTGCCAGATGTCTGAGTTCTAGAGAACGTTACCCTAAGGAGAACTATGGGGAAAAACACTGACCGCATAGTTCTCCTTTAATAATACTCAAAGTAACCAGAGGAAAACTCCCCAGTAATACATTTTCTTCCACTAAGTGGACAAGCATTTTCTCATACTTTCATCCAGACCGGGGCTGTCGGTGGGCGGGCCCCCAGCGGAGCGTTCATGAATTGGTTTGGGGACTCCTGCCCACCAGGTTTGGGGCCCGAGCCAGCTCCTCCTTCAATAGCTGTTGAGTAGGATTACAGAGCACGGGGCTGCGGAGCTTTAACTCAGGCATGGTGCTAGGGGACAGTGAATGAAGCTACGCCGTGACTGCTGCACTGCCAGGTGGGGGGAAGCCAGACGAGTCGAGTGTTTGAACTAGCTCAATGCATCTATAAATATGGTCCATTGTACTCATGTACATGGCTTTAGCAATTCATATTTATTTTACCAGAGACCCCGGACCGGGGGTGGAGTTCTGTTGATACATAAGTACTTACCATACAGACCAATTTGTGATCTTGAGGTTTACTGTCAGTGGAAGTGTCTGCTCCATCCTCGCCGCCGCCGATCCTGTCGTCAATGTCTCCGCTGATTCGGACAACCTCCACGTGTAGACGGCCTGCGATCTGGAGAGACGCAAAAAGAGACAAATTAATAAAAGAAAATGCAACTATCTGACCTGCAATCTTACAACCTGAACATTGTGATCGGAGCAGGACCCGGAGCAATCAGATGAATACACACTATTGGAGCTGGCAAGAGATTTTTCAATCTGAGCCGCCATTTTTATTTGTGCAGAGGAGCAATTGCCAGGTGAGAAACACAACTTCAAT